ATATTGAAGGGATCTGTAAAAATGCTACATAGAGACAAAGTGTATCATTTTGTCAATCTTTTTTCATTGTGTATTCTATAAAAATTGAATATGATATTGTCCTCAATAATTTTACATTCGACATAAGGCAAAACTGTACTTCATTTGCGGCTAAGACTGTTGTTGTATCCAGATTTAACGAGAAAATTGGATTTGAATTCCGAGCATTTCATTTCTTCAAACGTGAGTTAGTAACATGAGGCTACCTGTAGTAGTTTGCACAGTTGTTGTCTCCTTTGTCGTGGATTCAGGAGTTGTGGAAACAACTGTGGTTACTTCCTCAGTAGTTGACGGCTGTGCAGTTGTTGATGGCTGTGCAGTAGTTGACGGTGCCTTAGTTGTTGAAACCCGAGTGGTTGACTTCTCCGTGGTACTCGGAGCAGCTAGAGAGCAAAATGACCATATTTTCAAAGTTGAAATACATATCAAGATAAATTCGATCAAAAAACTGAAGTGACTTTGACAGTCCTACAATCAGATAAAAACTGTATCCGTGATACTCAGAGCAGCAAGAGAGCAAAATTACTATATTTTTCATTGCAAACTCATATCAAGATAGCTTCGTTCAAAAAACCCAAGTAACTTTTACAGTCCTCATATCAAGTAAAAATTCTATCAGAATTTCAACACAGTCCGTTTCAAATTCCAACCAGTATTGTACCAAACGTAATCAGTGACCACATTTTTGATCATTCTTTGGCCAATGACAAACACTGCGTCGAAATCCTTTCTTCAAATTTATGAATCACTTTGGTTGACTCTCCCAAATTGACGTGAGCAAGTGTGTTTTTCCCTCACCTGTGGTACTCCCAACCGTTGTGCTCCGTACAGTGGTTGACTCCTTTGTGGTTGTTGATTCCGGTGTGGTTGTGTACACAACTGTGCTTGTCACCTCCTCAGTGGTTGACGGTGCAGCAGTACTGGACGGCACTGTTGAAGTCACAACAGTTGTCGATACGGTGGTGGTAGCTGCCGTCGTCGATGCCTCTGTATTATAAAAGAAAATGTTTTTATTCAATCAATGCCTTCTTCTATGGTCTTACTCATCACAGTTTCTCGAATTATTTGAATAATTAAATAGCCAGCTCAGTAAAATGTACCGATTTAATTTAAGGGATCTGTAAAAAACTGCTACAGAGAGACAAAGTGTGCCATTTTGTCAATCTTTTTTCATTGTGTATTTTTTAAAAGTTGAATTTGATACTGTCCTGAATAATTTTACATTCGACATAAAACAGAACTGTACTTCAATATGCGGCTAAGACTGTTATTGTATCCAGATTTAACGAGAAAATCGTATTTGAATTCTGAGCATTTCATTTCTTCAAACGTGAGTTAGTAAAATAGCGCTACCTGTTGTAGTTTGTACAGTTGTTGTCTCCTTTGTAGTGGATTCAGGAGTTGTGGAAACAACTGTGGTTATTTCCTCAGTAGTTGATGGTTGTGCAGTGGTTGAAGGCTGTGCAGTAGTTGACGGTGCCTTAGTTGTTGAAACCCGAGTGGTTGTCTTCTCCGTGGTACTTGGAGCAGCTGTGAAGCAAAATTACTATGTTGTTAAAGTTGAAACACATATCAAGATAACTTCGAACAAAAAACTGAAGTAACTTTGACAGTCGTACGATCAGATAAAAACTGTATCAAACGTTCAACACGTTAAGTTTCAAATTTCAGCCTGTATTGATGTCAGCTGTGATGTAAAACTGCAAATTTGTCGCTCGAGACAGACACAGTGGCCAACTACATGATCGTTCTGTTGCCGGTGACAAGATTTTGTCAAAAACATTGATCAAATTTATGAATCACTTTAGTTCACTTCTCCGAAATGGACGTGAACAGTTGTGCTTTTCCCTCACCTGTTGTACTCTCAACCGTTGTGCTTCTCACTGTGGTCGACTCCTCTGCTGTCGTTGACTCTGGTGTGGTTGTGTACACAACTGTACTTGTCACTTCCTCAGTGGTTGACGGCACAGCAGTAGTGGACGGCACCGTTGAAGTCGCAACAGTTGTCGATACGGTGGTGGTAGCTGCCGTCGTTGATGCCACTATATGAAAACGGAATATTTTGTTCCATCAATCAGCGCAGTCTTGAAAGGTTTTGTTGCAGTTTTCTTGAATAGTTTGAAATAAGAATAACCGACTCAGTCAAAAGTATCGATTCAATTCCAGCGATCTGTAAAAAACGCTACAAAGAGACAAAGTGTACAATTTTGTCAATCTTTTTTTCGTTGTGTATTCTACAAAAACTTGAATAAGATACTGTCTTCAATAATTTTAAGTTCGACTTGAAGCAGAATTGTACTTCATTTGCGAGCATTTCATTTTTTTAAACGTGAGTAGGTAACATTAGGCTACCTGTTGTAGATTGTACAGTTGTGGTCTCCTTTGTAGTGGATTCAGGAGTTGTGGAAACAACTGTGGTTATTTCCTCAGTAGTTGAAGGTTGTACAGTGGTTGAAGGCTGTGCAGTAGTTGACGGTGCCTTAGTTGTTGAAACCCGAGTGGTTGTCTTCTCCGTGGTACTTGGAGCAGCTATGAAGCAAAATTACTATATTTTTAAAGTTGAAACACATATCAAGATAACTTCGAACAAAAAACTGAAGTAACTTTGACAGTCGTACGATCAGATAAAAACTGTATCAAACGTTCAACACGTTTAGTTTCAAATTTCAGCCTGTATTGATGCCAGCTGTAATGTAAAACTGAAAATTAATCGCTATACAGACGGAGACATTGGCCAAATACTTGATCGTTCTATTGCCTGTGATAAAGATTTTGTCAAAACATTGATCAAATTTACGAATCACTTTAGTTCACTTTTCCGAAATGGACGTGAACAATAGTGCTTTTCCCTCACCTGTGGTACTCTCAACCGTTGTGCTCCTCACTGTGGTCGACTCCTCTGTTGTCGTTGCCTCTGGTGTGGTTGTGTACACAACTGTGCTTGTCACTTCCTCAGTGGTTGACGGCACAGCAGTAGTGGACGGCACCGTTGAAGTCGCAACAGTTGTCGTTACAGTGGTGGTAGCTGCCGTCGTTGATGCCACTATATGAAAACGGAAAATGTTATTCATTCAATCAGCGCAATCTTGGAAGGTTTTGTTGCAGTTTTCTCGAATCGTTTGAAAGTTCAAATAACCGACTCAGTCAAGGGTACTGATTAAATTTAAGGAATCTGTAAAAAAAAAGCTACAAAGAGACAAAGTGTACAATTTTTTCAATTTTTTTTTCATTGTGTATTCTACAAAAACTTGAATAGGATACTGTCTGAAATCCAAATTTAACGAGAAAATCGTATTTGAATTCCGAGCATTTCATTTCTTCAAACATGAGTTAGTAACATAAGGCTACCTGTTGTAGTTTGCACAGTTGTTGTCTCCTTTGTAGTGGATTCAGGAGTTGTGGAAACAACTGTGGTTATTTCCTCAGTAGTTGACGGCTGTGCAGTGGTTGTTGGCTGTGCAGTGGTTGACGGTGCCTTAGTTGTTGAAACCCGAGTGGTTGTTTTCTCCGTGGTACTTGGAGCAGCTTTAGAGCAAGATTATTATATTTTTCATTGGAAACTCATATCAAGATAACTTCGTTT